CCCCCCCCCCCCGCCCTCCTCAGTGCAGCCAGGCCGTCACGTGGCCCTGCAGACCCAGGCCTGGCCAAGGGCCTAGGGGGGCTCAGGGACCACCAGGACCAAAGCAGGAGTAAAAAGGCAGCTTCCCCATGCTGATTCCCCACCTGCAGGTTCTGAGCCAGCACCTCCTCTGTTTATACATTATCTATTCTAAATACAAGTTACCGTCACACTCCCCTGAATTACAAAAGCAGTATGAGCTTTTAGAAAACATCTGGAAGGACAGCTGGATCTATATGCATGGGTCCGTCTGTCTTAATGCACATGCACTGACTTTAATAAAACGTAATAAAAAATAAAAGTCATCCTTTTTTCTAATCTGTTATAAAAGTTTTTAATGGTTTCATTTATTTTTGAGAGACAGATAGAGACAGAGCATGAGTGGGGGAGGGGCAGAGGGAGAGGGAGACACAGACTCTGAAGCAGGCTCCAGGGTCTGAGCTGTCAGCACAGAGCCCGACACGGAGCTTGAACTCGCAAACCTTGAAATCATGACCTGAGCCGAAGTTGGACGCTTAACCGACTGAGCCACCCAGAAGCCCCTTAAAAGTCATTCTTGATACACTCAGAAAACCTAAAAACTCAACCAAGTACAAAGGCTGAAAACACTACGGAAGCCACACACAACCCACCATCTGGTAACCGTGATGGGGAGTATTTGTGGTGCATCCTTCCAGGTGGACATATGTGTACTCGTATGTGATTCTCTGAAATATAAAATCGGCACCAGGTCTCCATGTGTGTGAAGCAAGGTCACTACAAGGGGGACGGATTCCATCTTTATTTAAAATACATGTAGGGGCACCTGGGTGGCTCAGTCAGTTAAGAACCAGACTTTGGCTCAGGTCATGATCTCAGGTTCGTGGGTTCGAGTCCCACGTCGGGGTCTGTGCTGACAGCTCGGAGTCCGGAGCCTGCTTCGGATTCTGTGTCTCCCTCTCTCTCTGCCCCTCCCTCACTCATGCTCTGTCTCTGTCTCTCTCAAAGATAAACATTAAAACATCAAAAAGTAATAAAATAAAATACATGTATTTTGGAGCACCTGGGTGACTCGGTTGGTTGGGTGTCCGACTGCGGCTCAGGTCATGATCTCACAGTTTGTTGAGGTTGAGGCCCACGTTGGGCTCTGTGCTGACAGCTCGGAGTCTGGGGCCTGCTTCGGATTCTAGCTTCCTCTCTCTCTCTCTGCCCCTCCCCCACTAGCACTCTCTCTCGCCCTCGCTCTCTCTCTCCCCCTTGCTCTTAAAAAAACATTAAAAAAATTAAAATAAATAAAACACATGTATTTGTATTTTACATATATAGAGAAAAGTCTGGGAGGCTATATTTCCATCAAAATCTCACTGGGATTCTCTCTAGGTGGTGGGATTAGCGACAGTTTTTATTTTGTTTACGCTTCTCTCCACTTTTTAGGTTTTCCGTATGAACATTTTACAACCTTCGTTCTCTTGAAAGCCATTTTTAATGGGTTTTGTTAACGGATTGTTGCGTAGCCCTTATTTTTTGTTAAAGAAAAATTTGCACGCTAATTTTTCATTGCTGTGACACTTCACACTACCGAATGGGTAAGGCAAACATAATTTCTTGCCTAAGCCAGAACCCTTTTGAGAGTCAGAAGGGTAATGTTTAAAAAAAAAGAAAAAAAAAAAGGAGGGCCTGTGGAAGGTGCTCTGAGGCCAAGGGCACAGGATGGACAAGTGGGACAATGGGAAGGGCCTGCAGAAGCTCTCACCTGGAGGCCGCCTCAGGTTGGTAGAGGCTGACGTGTCTGCAGCTGGAACCGCTCCAAGCACAGTAGGGGTCCCGGGCGAGGACACAGTCCCCACAGCTCTGGTACAGGCTGCAGTTGGCCACAGGCACCTGGACTACGCCTGAGTGGGAGGCAGCGTAGAGCAGTCCCTGCACAGACACGGGGCGGGGGGTGAGAGGCGGGCACGGGCGGCCGGGGCCGCCTCGCACAGCTGCACCTGGCTCGCGTGCCCACCAGAGCCACTCCCCAGGGGGCCTCCTCTTCCGCCCCCGGGCACCCCACTTTCCGTTGGCTCATGCCACGAGACTGGAACTTTCCATCCTGCAGGCGCCAGGGAGAAGCTGGCTGGGGCCCGCTTATCGGTAACGAGGGGCACCCGGGCGTGCTCCCCGGGCTCCTCCTCCAGCTCACCCTGCTGGCGTCCAGCAGCAGGTTCTGCACGGGCTGTCCTGGCGAGAAGATCTGGAGCTCCTCGACGATGTGCACCCTGGGGCCCACGCCCACCGCCTTGTGCAGCCGGCCATCGCCTGGAACACGGACAGCGCTCAGGCCCACAGCCCCACGGCCGCGTCCCCCGAGCCCGAGCCCGCCCCGCCGCGGGCACTTACTGGTGCCCAGGAAGAGCACGTCGTAGGTGTGGTGCAGGCCGGACACGCGGTGCACGGCCACGCGCTGGTAGCGGGCACGGGGCTGCAGCAGCAGCAGGCGGCTGCGGACCTGCCCGTCCATCAGGAAGTGGTCCTTGAGGAAGTTCAGCACACGGTCTGGGAGTTGCAGGGACGAGCTGATCTTCCTCTCCCGGGCACTGTCGGTGATGCACTGAAGGAGAAGGCGGCGGCGTGAGGCCGGTGCCGCTTAGAGCAGCCAGCAGGGCGGGAACCGCGTGGCCACCGCCAGGATTGCCAGGCCCTGCCCCCGCGGTGGACGGCAGGGCCACCCGCCCGCCCCGCAGACGCCACTGCACGTCACCCGCGGTGCTGCAGGGAGCCAGCACACCGATCGGGAGGCCCCGGGGCGAAGCCTGGGTGTGGGGCACCCAGGGGCCCTGGCCGGCAGGGTTCCCCTCCCTGCCCAGGCCCCTCGCCCTCCCCCAGGCCTCAGGAAGCATGCCACGCTTCTGCTGCTTCAGCAACCTTTCACCAGTGCCGGAAGGAAGCCTAGGCTAACCAGGGTCTCCTAGTGCGGGGGGCATGAAGGTGCCCTCCCAGGGCCCCAGGTGCCCACGATGGTGACAGCTCGGGGACACCCTCCCTTGGCTCTGCTTCCTCCTCTAGCTTTCCTATTCCCTCACGGTACTTCCTGAATCACCTCCCTTATGAACCCCCGGCACTCAAATCCCTGTTTCAAGGTCCAATGGCAATAGGCTGCCATTATGGGCAGCCTATTAAGCTGGATGGAAAGAAGGACGATATCCCCACGGCCGGGCTGCTCGTCACTCAACAGCTAGAGGAGGAACTCACAGCTGGGCAGGGGAGAGACGCGGGTGCAGGGACAATGACAGAAGCGTGCACTAAGTGTCCCGATGGGCACACACCTGCTCACTCTAGATAGGGCTACGGCATTCCAGCATCCGTAGCCACGTGTAACCCAGTAAGACAAGCAGGCCTGGCTCTTGTCCCCACGTTCAAGAAAACAGGCTCAGAGAAGCCCAAGGAGCCCAGCACGGTGTGGGGACCTTTGTCATCCGCACCCCACCCGGGTGCAGAGAGCAGCACTTACCGCTCCGGGACGGGGTGTGGGCACTGGGTGGGTCACAGTGTACCACTGCTGTGTCTCCCGGTTCACCTCCTTGTACAGGCCGTTGAAGGCCTTCTGCACGTCTTTCATGGTGAAGACACAGAGGGCGGAGCCCTCCGTGGTCCCCCTGTGCCTACCGTGGAAATGGCTGGATTAACCCAGGAGCCCCGGGGCTCCGCATGAGGCCGGCTTAGCCCCAAGGCCGGCTTTGGGCCCCAGTCCCGTCACCCCCCAGCCGTCCCATCTCTGGTTAGGTCCCCGGGGGCCGTACCACTGGGATGTGAAGACCCCATAGAAGAGGGTGTCCTGCCAGTCCTGGGGGCTGGGGCTCAGCGTGAAGACGTCCTGCAGCA